CAAGCTGGGAAACAAAGAGGAATCACCTCACCAGCATTAGAAGAGGGAATGGTGTCCACAAATGATTCCAGCAGCATTCATACAACCAAAGAAAGGATGCCACTAAGACAAGCCCGTGGAGACCGGTATATAGAATGGCATCAGCCGCCACTCCGGTTACACCCACTGATGCGTTTCACCCCACCCACCAGGGCTTGATCACAGAGGAGTGAGAAACAATAGAAGCCAGAGATTTTATCTGCATCATTGGCCGTGAAGTTAGTATTATTATTATTACACAGCATTTATATAGTGCCAACAGTTTGCTCAGCGCTGTACATTACAATGGGAGACAATACATGAGACAATACAATAACAATACAATAATACATGAGGGGTTCGAGGGCCCTGCTCCTTGGAGCTTACAATCTAGGAGGGAGGGGAGAGTGGTACAGGAGGAAATAGCTGTGGGGGATGGAGTGGTGGGGAGAGCATAGGAGATCAGCAGTTAGGTGAGGGCGGGGTAGACTTCTCTGAAGAGATGGGTTTTCAGGGTGCACCTAAAGGTGAGGAGGGTAGGTGACAGTCTGATGGATTGGGGTAGTGAGTTCCAGAGGATAGGGGAAGCCCTGGAGAAGTCCCGGAGGCGGGCATGGGGGAGGAGACCAGGGAACTAGAGAGTAGGAGGTCTTGTGAGGAGTGAAGAGTGCGTTTTGGGTGGTAGATGGATATCAGGTCGGTGATGTAGTTTGGGGCAGTGTTATGAACAGCTTTGCATGTCAGTGTTAGTATTTTGAATTTTATGCGTTGGGCAATCGGAAGCCAGTGGAGGGATTGGCAGAGGGGGGTGGCGGAGACGGAGCGGTTGGTAAGGTGGATGAGTCTGGCCTCAGAATTCAGGATATACTGACGTGGAGATAGCCTGTGTTGGGGTAGGCCGGTGAGGAGGGAGTTACAGTAGTCAAGCCGTGATATGATAAGGGAGTGAATGAGTTACTTTGTAGTTTCTGGAGTTAGGAACGTGCGTATTTTGGAGATGTTGCGGAGGTGCAGTCTGCATGAATTTGTCAGTGATTGGATCTGGGGCTGGAAAGACAGATTGGAGTCTAGAATGACACCTAGTGCTCTGGCTTGGGGGGGTGGGGATGGTGGCGTTGTTGGTCGTGATGGAGAGGTCGGGGGGGCGGGCTGGGGGGAAACCTAGGAGCTTTGTTTTGGCAAGGTTTAATTTGAGGAAGTGGAGTGACAAGTTGCATAGTTACATTGTTAGTCTGGCTGAAAAAAAAAAAACAAAAATCCATCCAGTTCAACCATTCAAAAAAAGTTTTATAATCCTACACCCACAGTTGATCCAGAGGAAGGCAAAAAAACACAGCAAAGCATGATCCAATTTGCTCCTGCAGGGAAAAAATTCCTTCCTGATCCCCAGAGAGGCAATCAGATATACCCTGGATCAATTTTACCTATGAGTCCTCATGCACACGGGACGTTTTGATAACGCTGATAACGTTAGCTATGTAAAGTCAGCTTTTTTTAAAAAGTCCAAAAATGCTGGTTTGCGGTGTTTTAAAGCGTTTTGCTGTGTTTTTCAGCGTTAGAATGTTTTTACCGATAAAAAACTCCTCTAGAAACCCACTGATTCTGGGGGGTTTTTTTCAGCCAAAAAACATTGATTACAATCTATGTGTGTTTGGACACATAGGATAACATGCTGGGGGGTTTACTAGCTGTAGAAAAAAAGGTCAAAAGTCAAAAAACAGCCACTGTAAAATGTCAAGTGTGCATGAGGACTGAAAGTGAGTGCGTGTTGACAGGTGTGTGCTAAAAAAACAGTGATAATGAAGGTAAGGTGAGGATAAACAATGTGCAGTGGAGTGAAAAAAAAAAGCAAGAAAGTGTCAAGCAGAGGAATGAAAATGTGTAATATGAAAATAAAAAATAGATGAATAATAGAGGAGAAGGAGAAAAAACAGGGGACAACTTTTTTTTTTAGGAGGGAATAAAGACATAAAGAATAAGAAAAGAATAAATAAACTCTTATCCTTCCAATTCTTTGCAATGCTGGAGACATGATATGCTGCCACCAATGGAGCACAATCATATAGACAGGAGTCAGCTGCAAAGAGGCAGGAAGAATTCAGTGGTACTGAGATGCAAGAATGGATACAAAAGCGGGTGACAGTAATATCCTTCAAAAAGAAAATAACAGGCATTTGTTTACAAGGCACATGTCAACCATTTTATTGCAGCAGTCAGCAGTGGAATTTGAGTCATTTTAACCTCCCTAGCGGTCTGATTATGTCCATATTTCTGTGCTCAAAGCGGTACATATTTTTGCATGGGAATATGTAGTTTTTTTTATTGTAGGTTGTAATTTTTAGGAATAACTCACTGAAATCTGTCCGAACAAGAGTCTAGTAAACATCCCGGGTATGATAAAACTTGAAACACAAAATCATAAATTATAATTTAATAAATAATCATAAAAAATAATAATATAATATTAAATTTAATTTAATAATATAATCAAACCAAAAACACTGAAATCTGAAATAGAGCGCCAAGTTCGCACATCACTGAGCAAAGTCACAAAATCGTTTTCAGTGTCTGATGACGAATTTCCCCACGAATCATTATCACTCAATTCTGCAAGTGGTTCTGATTTACTATCGCTGTTCTCTAGCCGGTCTAAAACCGCTTTTGACCTAAAGGGACGCTTTTGGACGCCATGGACGTTTCTCAGTTTCCAGGCAGAAAGATCAGTAAACATGCAGGCAGTGCACAGGACAAAGCACTCGGGACAAAATGTATGTGATATGCTTTGATACAGTAATGTTTTATGTGATTTTAGTGAATGTCACTTTTTGTCATTTTCAAATTTCCCACCGGTTACGTCCCCGTATGTCCCGACGCTGGCAGGGGACGGAACCCAGATGACAGATGCCGGCATCCGCCGGATTACATTGCTGGGGACACTGAAGGAGGGACATCGCGGGAGCGCAGGACAAGGTAAGTGATCGAGGGATCCCAGAGCAGCGCTGCATGGTAAACCCGAATGTAGCTCTGGCTTACCGCTTGTGGTACTGAAACTTTACACCAAGCTACACTCGGGAATACCGCTAGGGAGGCTACAATGCTACTTATTATTATTATTATTATACAGGATTTATATAGCACCACAATGTGCTCAGCTCTTTACAATATAACAGGAGACAATACAGCAACAATACAGTTCAGTACAAGAGGGTTAGGAGGGCCCTGCTTCTTGGAGCTTACAATCTAAGAGACAGAGTTATAAATGGTTCCCTCCTTTCATCAGAGTTCTTAGTGTTCCCCCTTAAATTAAAGTCCTCGGGGTTCTCTCTATACTTCAGAGTCTGCAAAGTCGACCCTTACAGTGTATGGGAACTCTGTGAGTTCAGATGTAAAGGGGAACTCTGTGAGTTCAGATGTAAAGCGAAACTCTGCAGCTTTAGATGTGAAGGGGAAACTGTGGATTCAGATGTAAAGGGGAGATCTGTGGATTGTGGTATAAGGGGGGACGCTTGTGATTAAACCCATATAATTAGAAATGTTATTTATTCACAGAATATATGTATATTGTATCCTACAAAAAATTAGCCGTACAGCGCTAAAGTGTTCGGGTTTGGCTTGAAGAAAAGGTGGCAACTCTACCCAGGACGGCAGGAAGGGGGCCCGCTGCAAAATATGGGGAATGGTCCTGCTGTGGCACCGTAATAAAGGGACCACAACTGGGGTAAAGGGCCCTGGGCTCAAAGGGAAGGGGGTCAGGGGGGCCCATTATGGTTTCTTACGCAAGGGCCCTGAAGGTTCTAGTTACGCCTCTGTCTAGAACTATGGGTGAAATGTGATATAGGGGCGGTCCTAGATTAAGGCTGTCAATGTCAAGTTTGTAGATATTCTTGCTAATAAATGTGGACACCACCGATCCCTCTGGTGTGCTGTAGCTTTTTTCTTTGCACGTCATCCAGTTAGGGATTAGATCTACTTTCCCTTTAGACTTTGAACAATGTCACCTACCCTATGTGATTCCAATAGCATGTATATTATTGTACAAATCTCTCAGGGCTCATTCTCGCCATGTGCTGCGTGGGCACATACAAAATATTGGTTTTCTATTTGCTTCATTTACACCAGCGGTCAGTAAATGGCAGATCGCGGTCCATGAACAGCCCCAGTAGCACTGCCGCCCGGACCACCAGCCTGCAGTGACATATCTGCCGCTGAGCAGGGCAGTCGTCATGGCAACATGACATTATGTGTGTGCCCCGCCCTTTTTAGCTCACTGTCTCTCTGACTCCCGCTCTCTGCATCCAACAAGGATTCCAGCACGGCTCCTGTCTGCCCTCAAGGTAGGGTGTAGTCTTACAGGGGCACTCTGATGGGCACAACATAGAATGTGACCATCAGAGTGCCCCTTAATATAAATGTGCCCATCAGTATGCCCCTTATTTTATGTTAAGGGGCACTCTGATGGGCACATTTATATTAAGGGGCACTCTGATGGGCACATGTGATGGAAAGGGGCACTCTTATGAGGAATATGATGTAAAGGGGTACTTTGAGTGTAAGGGGGCACTCTGACAGGAATACCTGATATAAGGTGGCTATGTGATGGGGATACCTGATGTAAAGGGGCACTCTGATGGGGAATATGATGTAAAAAAGGGCACTCTGATGGGGAATATGATGTAAAAGGGCACTCTGATGGGCACATGTGATGGAAAGGGGCAATCTGATGGGGAATATGATGTAAAGGGACACTCTGATGGAGAAATATGATAGAAAGGGGTACTTTGAGTGTAAGGGGGCACTCTGACGGGAATACCTGATATAAGGTGGCAATGTGATGGGGAATATGATGTAAAGGGGCACTCTGATGGGCACATGTGATAGAAAGGGGCACTCTGATGGGGAATATGATGTAAAGGGGTACTCTGATGGGGAATATGATGTAAAGGGGCACTCTGATGGAGAAATATGATAGAAAGGGGTACTTTGAGTGTAAGGGGGCACTCTGACAGGAATACCTGATATAAGGTGGCAATGTGACTGGGATACCTGATGTAAAGGGGCACTCTGATGGGCACATGTGATGGAAAAGGACATTCTGATGGGGAATATGATGTAAAGGGGCACTCTGATGGGCACATGTGATGGGAAGGGGCTCTCTGATGGGGAATATGATTTAAAGGGGCACTCTGATGGGGAAATATGATAGAAAGGGGTACTTTGAGTGTAAGGGGGCACTCTGACAGGAATACCTGATGTAAGGTGGCAATGTGATGGGGATACCTGATGTAAAGGGGCACTCTGATGGTGACACCTAATGTAAGGGGGCACACTGATGGGCGCACCCTATTCGGACCTCGGCCAGAAGAATATTTTAGTGACCGGACCTCCTTGAATTTTAATTCAATATCCCTGATTTACACCATAATGTTGTGTTGCATAAATGTAACCTGTCTGCATTTTAACAGAGTGCAACACCAATGTGTATAAAAACACAATATAGGTTAATGCAATGCACAAAATGAATATTAGATGCACATCAACGCACATGTATTTTTCAATGGCAAAACTGCATTTTTGCTTCAACTGCTTCACTGGCTGCATAGGATTATCTTTGAACATTTTACATCTGCCTTTACTTTTATCATTCTCAATCTTTAATATAATTCTTTTTAAAAAAATAAATATATATATATATATATATGAAGCTGATAAAGAACACAGAAATTGTCAGGTGACATATGAAAAGATATATCCATACTAATGGAATGTTCTCAGTGTATAACATCTGTTAATAACGTAATTTTTACTCTTTGCTTTCAGTGAAATGGTTGAAAGTCAGCACCTGTGATCAGTAGGAAAGCACACGGAGGAGTGTGACAAGGAGGAATTGTCGGGGAATGCAGAGTCGGGGTGACAGGGGCACAGTGGTGCTGCATTGTCATTGATTTACTGTATTAGGCAAGCCTGAAAACAGCTGTGCCACTGATGAGCCAGATCCATTAAAATGAATGAGGCAGATGCTTTCATGGAAGCAGATGAACTGCTTTGCTTTGAAATAATGCACATTGAAGTGATACTCAGCTTAAAATAAAATGTTTTGAAGACACTAATGGCTATGGCCTACCTTTTAAAAAAATTCTTTATCTGTGCAGGCAGGTGTTGGCTCAGTCAGTGTCTTCAATGCTGTCTTCTAGCACTAAGCAAGAGAATCTGGCATTGAGACTCATATTTTTAGGTATAGGCAGCTTCAGCACAGAGTATAACAGGACAAGAGATTCCAATGTGCAGATAAAGGGAGGGGTACGGCTCCTACCCACCAAAGTCCATGTGGTAACCCCAGGGCTGGTACTAGATTATTTTGCACCCTAGGCCAGACCATCTACTCCCCTCCCTCCCCCCAAAAAAATAGTTTTTAAAACCAATAGAACATATTAAATCAACAAAACATGAAACTGTTAAATTTCTTTTAATTTGCAAAAAGAGGTGCCATGAGATGCCATCAGCACCAATATTAAGGACATCAGTGTCACAGACGGACTGTATCTGTGGCTGGCAGTGGCAGTGGTGACAGTTGCAGTGAGTGGAGAATGATGGATCCACACTGACAGATCCCAGGCTGAACAAGCAGCAAGTACCTCGTAGCGTTTCACATTTTTAGTATTTACTCATGAGGACCTTAAGGTCAAGGTACTTGTACAGTACTGCTTGTATACCATGCTCTCTGATTTTTTATTTTTTTTTCCAAAATATTTTTATTAGAAAGTAACGTATAGCAATATACATACAAATACGGATCACAGTCCGAACATAGACACATCATATAGCATCCCGTTTCGCAGACGGGTCATAGGTTTAAACAAAAGTACGCGTCTGGTTGAGATATATCCTTAATGCAAATGTATATGGCTAACCAGTAGATACAAAGAGTATAGTAGATAAATCAAAATGGGTATAAGGATTACTGCCCTATGTACTGGTGAGTCCTTATGTCGGGTGAATGTGAAGTGTTGGGTAATGCTTGCACAGGATGACTTATATGCAGGGGCGGACTGACCATTTGGAAACTCAGGCACTGCCCGAGGGCCCGGGGTCAGTAGGGGGCGCCATGAGATGCCCCTGGTACCTTTTTCATAGGCTTTTGAGTTTGGGCAAGGACACAGGGGCCCCATTATCCCCTATTGCCCGGGGGCCCCATGAGTTGTCAGTCCGCCCCTGTTTATATGACAAAATTGTGTGTCCATTTCGGGAGCGGTTGAGCCATATGAAATCAGGCACACCTGTATGAGAGATTAAATGTCATATTTGTTGGGAGGATATGAATAATGAAGGCGTACAAAAAGCTTGAGATAAAGAAATCTCTGATTTAAATACCCATCAATATGGCAAGACTTCTCGGAGAATTCCTTGTATCTTTATATACTGGTAATAATAGAACCAGGCAAGGTCTGAGGCATTGTGAAGCTGAGTAATTGTAAAGCAGGACTGATAGCTGGATCTCCATTGCGACAATGGAGGCTTTTTTTTGTATGTCTCATTAAAATGAACTGTTCTCAAGTTATACAAAAATCTGGAGGTAAAGTTCAAGCCAAACACAAATGAATGCAGCTCTGTATTGATTATATATATTCATAATTTTTTTTTTTCACACAAATAGTATAGGTACCTGAATTCTACTTGGCATCAGCCTTTCTCAGTCCCTGTACAGCGGAGCTCAGACTGGAAGATAAAGATGCAGCACAAAAGGTTGTGCTGCAGTGCTCATGTACTGATAGGGGGAAAGAGCAGAATGACAGAGACATGAACTCATTAGTCTTCTGCTTCTCCTTCACTATCCAGTCAAAGGCAAGACCTGCAAGGGCTTTTTCACACAAGCGACTGGGAAGCAGTAAAAACAGACGACTGATACTCATTTTTATTGCCCTCCAACCACCCACCTGAATCTTAATATTAGAGTTTGACAGGGTTGTTTCCATGCTGTGATGCTTTACTTTTCAGCTGCAGCATTTTATTTTGGGCAACAGAAACTGAAAAGAGGCACCACTTGCCAAAGTTGCCTTTTGAGACCATTGGGGCTGCGGGACACCTGCCCCGAAACCATGATTGCTGCGCAGTAGTGCGGCATTTACAGAGTTAAATCAGATTTTAAGGGAGGTGATATAACGCCTCCTCATCACCTGTGAAATGCCCTCTAAAAAATCATTTGAATGCAGAACACTCTTCAGAGGACACTGCATGTATGAAAGAACCCCTAGACCCCATTCACACATAGCAAATGGAAATGCATGTATTTTGCACATAGAATCATTGGGTTGCCCTACGCACGACAAACGTGGCAAAGTAGCTCTTGGAGCTTTTCGCCATGTTCTTGTTTGCATGGTTTTTTGACTCTGCATTTAACCGCATTTGTAGAGCGCAACAATTTTTGTGTTTTTTGCTGTGTTTGGGGTTCCATTAACAATTTATAGCACCACAAGTGTGACACATGTGTTTGGGGCGCTCTGGGAACACACAGTTGTGAACAGAGCCTTAGTGTTACTTATCAGCAGCAGAATTAGTATCAGGTCTTGCCAGATAGAATTGTGCTGTGTGGCAGAGCCAGGGCCGGTACTTCCACTAGGCAAGCTAGGCAGCAGCCACTACGTCACACTGCCACACAGGGGCGACTGGGCGCAGCACAGGCCGGCACTGTCTCTGTATGTGACGCCACCACATCATGAATGATCCTCCAGCTGAGAGGAGGGGCAGCAGAAGGGAGGAAGAAAGGACAGAGGAAGATGATGGGTTTCTGGGGCCAGTGTAGCAGCTGAGCTGCAGCTCCTTCCAGTGTTCCTCTCAGACTCAGTCCATTACTGCAAGCTGGCTGGCGGCTGCTGATCACTGTGGAGTTCCAGCCCTTCTCTTCCCATTTATCAGTGGAGGCAGAGCTGACCCTGCAGAGGAAGGTAATGGCTGACTCTGATGTCTCGTGTCTGTGTTAGTGTGACCCGGCATGCCATTCATCACATGTGCAATGTGTCAGTGAGTGATAACATTATCACGATCCCACAGCCTTCTAGTGCCTGCTGGGCCTGCTGATCTATGTCAGTGTTGGTGGTGGTGTGTCACTGTGTGGGATCGTTCAGTTCAGGTGTTCTCTCTCTTTGTATGGGCTAGGCTGCCTGCTGTCACATTTTTATCCCCCCATTGCCTGGGGAATTTCAGTCTGCTATCTGTGAGAGTGTGGATCCATCATCCTCCACTCACTTCAACTGTCACCCTGCCACTGCCAGCCACAGATACAATCCATCAGTGACACTGATTCTGTCTTTAATATTGGTGCTGATGGCATCTTATGGCACTTATTTTTGCAAATTAAAAGAAATTTAACAGTTTCATGTTTTGTGGATTTAATATTTTCTACCATTTTTAATTTTTATTATTTATCTATTTTTTTTGGGGGGGGGGGCGCAAGCAGCTGGTCTTGCCTAGGGTGCAAAATAGTCTAGCACTGTCCCTGGGCAGAGCTATGTAGGTCTCAGAACTGAATGGACAGATATGCAAACCTTTTTGCAGATAAAATAGCTCCCATTTATATATCATGGTATTTATCTACGTATTTAGCAGGGTTCCTGGAAATAAGGTTAAAATACAGTTTATATTTAGTTAAATCAACTGCTGCTTTATACATCAATAAATGTTCTGGTTTTGCAGAGTTCCCCTTTAACTATCATCATTAATAACGTCAGGTCTCTCACCTCCCTCAGCAGAACAGATGAACACGATATCACTGAAGGGGCCATCGCCTTTATTATTGTACACGCCAACTTTCACTTCAAAAGGCGTGAGCGGCGGCGTGCTTTCATCTCTGTAGATAAACTTTGAGGCATCAGAAGAGGTCACCATTTTCTCTTTCCATCCCCTGGTGTCATTTGGCCTGAATGCCACGATGTAACCAAACCCCTCGCCGTTCTGAAATTCTTCTGAGACGGGCTGAAAAAGTCAGCGCGTTATTTATTATTAAACAAGGAAACCACAGTCCTGTGTCCACATACGCACATGAGATTGCAGGTTGAGTAAATATAAGGAATAACTTCACAATAAAATGAACGCATTCGACTGGTCATTGCTGAGATAAATTTAATAAAGGATAAACATACCTCCCACGTTATAACCAATTCATGGCGCCTTCCACTTCCACCGCTGACATTTGCTGGGGGAGTTTTTGGCACTAGAACAGAAAAAAAGCTACAATAGTAAACCTTAAAATAAAAATCCATTATTATCAATAAGGCTGGTGGATGAAAGGATAAAGAAAAGGGAAATGAATGATTTAGCTTACCCTATGTGAAATATA